CTTCAGCCAGCTTACCCACTTGCGCCGATCTTGGTTCTCAGCGGCCCTGTCAGCCGCGTGTGGTGCCAAACTGATGGAGTTGATGTTCATCGCAGGCAGCTTTGAGTCGTAGATCATGTCGATGCACCACAGGAAGTTCCTGGCGAACTCGACCTCTCGATAGAGTTCGTTCAGCTCTTTCTTGTCTGGACGGAAATAAGCTGTATACGACTGATCCTTAGCGTGCCTTTCACCGAGCAATGGCTGCAACCTCCTCATGATGAAGGATACGCACATGAGCGAGTTGATCGCCCCGATGCACGCGTCAGAGATGTCACTGGGGGTTGACCCACAGATCATCCAGCGCAAGAGATTGTGCTGGCTGGCATCTTCATCTCTTCTCAGCGCATACGCAAGGTTCTTCATCGATGCATGCAGCTCGTTCTGGTAGACCAACCCAAGGTCCCAATTCTTCTGATAGTGGTCCTTTGCGCCACGACCGTAGAAGTCGATCTTGGGGGGCTTGATCACGCTCAACGTGAATACTTTCCCCCAGTTTCGATCTCTGAACCTCGATATTCTCCGATCGTGCCTCTCAAACTCTGCAGTCGTCTGGAACTCCTCGGAGCTCCTCCACCTTCTCGACGACGAGGCTCTGGTTGGCTCATCGCTGATGAACTCTTTGTATACCTCCCCGACCGGGGTGTCCTGGTGGAATGCAGCTTTGAACGACCGTTCCTCGTTGTCTTCGGCCACACCTGATGCGAGATCCCAGATGTCTGTGGTTGATCTCAACATATCCGCCCCTTCTATGCAGTACTTGGTCACATTGAGCAACTCGGGGTTCTTCGCTAGCAGCGATGCCTCACCGCAAAGTTGGTTCAGCGCCGCCACGATCTTCTTTCCCTTGCTGCAGAATTCCCTCCATCCAAGCATGCATTCGTCGGCAGACAGTTGTCCGAAAACTTTGCTGATGAACTCCAACGCAACCCTCATGGATTGCCCTTCACCTTTCATCATCCCGCGGCATTTGGCAGAATAATACGCTGAGTAGGCATAGATAGCAGGGACGCCGATGTCCTCGATCCACCTTATGCACATGCCCAGGTCGCTGCCCATCTCCATTCTGTTGGGTATCCTCTTGCCCTCCTCGATGGCGTTCTTCACTAAGTTCCCCAAGAATATTGCCGCTTGCCTGGACTTCCCAACAGGCACGCAGAAGAACTCATTCGTATTGACAACAGTCGTATTGGCAGTCATCTTGATGATATTCTCCAGAACCAGGAAAACCCAGAATAGGCAGCTGTAAATAAAGCCACGGATTTGTCCCAATACGAGCCCAGTTTCCGATCGAGGTGATGAACTGATCCAACTCCTCTTTGAAACTTGGGGATCGGGACTGACCCAGCTCCCCGTCGGCACCAGAGGTTCGGGACTAACCCAGCACCTCGGTGGCACAGTCGGGGTGGTGCAAATTTCGCACGCAGTAGCTTGATGCTTCCGCAATCTCCCTCGCGTAACGCAAGCAAGAGCGAGTTTCAATGGTGCCGGCTGGAGGCACTTTGCTCGAGCACGAAAACGGCGAAGGATCACACCCACAATTAAGGACGTGTACAACTGGGTTTCTTTGGTTTCACGACCGGCACAAGGTCCATGCTCATGGTTTCCATTGCATTTCTTAGACAACGAGCTACCAAGGTCAAAGTTCCATGACACAACTCTCCATGGTTTCTTGATTGGCATGGGTCTCTTGGCGTACCTTTGCTTCAAGCCATAGCGACACCCATCAAACTCGTGACTAGTCCCATCATGAACAACCTCATGCAGTCTTTCGTCTTTCCAATAATCGCAACTTCCGGGCAACTCAAACAAAATCGCAGCTTGTTTTGTCATAGCATGCCGTTTGATTTCAACGAACCGTTCAAACAATCTCCAAAATTCCCTTTGTTTGGCCTCGATTTTCTCTGCGGTGTCAATTCCGCGAGTCTTGTTGAGGCGTGCCCATGATGATCCCCCCGTGCAAGGCCCGGCGAAGAACAACAAGTCGGAAGGTTTGGTAAGCACATGTCTGGCGATTCTCCCCCCGTACTCGCTCAGTAAGTCATCGACCAAAGTTATGGTGACGACCTGCGGCCCGTTATGGCGGGCAAGGGCAGTGAACCAGTTACGCGTTCGGAACACGCCATCAGCACAGTGGGCCGAGCCAAGTCAACACTGTAAAGAGTGACGACTGTGCGAGTTCTCATGCCAGGAAGCGAGACATGCACAGGAGCGCGAAGCACACCACCGTCATGTTTGACCATCGCGAGTTCAATACCCGGCGCTAACTGTGGTTTGTGCTTCACCGCAATGCGATACGGAACAAAACAACGACCAGGGACAAGCTGCTCGTGATTGATATGCAGACAACGCATAAGCAACTTCAATCGGAGCAAAGTTTCCAAAGCAAGGTCGTTGACACACTTTAATTCTATGCGCTCGTTCGACAGTTCTTCAACGAATGCGGCCAGCACGGACTGCATGTCAACATCCCCGGACCCGACGTGAATTCGTCGTGGTCGTGGAGATCGCTCCCGCGCCGGTACGGCAACCGGCACGGGATGAAACTGCCAAACTGCGCGTTCAACCCACCCATCAATCCGCACGCACTGCAACCCAGGGTCAACCCTATCCTCGACCTTGAGCCATGACCCGTTCTTCAGAAACCAAGTGGAACGAAGCCACTTGCTAGGTTTCACACGCATCAATCTGGGCCCCTTGGCAACAACAACCGGATCATGTCCTTCATGCTCATGCAATCCCTCTTTGGATGTCAATCCAGGCCACCACAGGTCTGGGGGCATGATCGGAATGTGTGTGTACGGAAACGTGGGAACTCCGTCAACCGTTCCCGACACCTTTCCACGTGGTTGGTATTACAGCTGGAGGGTTCGGCGCACAGCGTCCCACGGGACGTCACCTTGCCGTCTCTTGACATTTTGAAACTTCCGCCCACCGGCTTCGCCGGCTCTACTGGTATTGGGTCTAACTTGATGATAGGTGCCTTAGACAAAAAAACACGGATACCTCTCCCATTTGATGAGATTGTAAACACGCCGATGCCCTTGTTCTAGCGTAGCTTCTGCGAAATCTGATGAGTAAGCTTAGCATCATGTTTTATAATCTCTCCTGTTAAATTTTTGCGCGCGTGATGCTGTGGCTTGATGTTGCGCGCACGCAGCTGTGCGTGATGTTGTGCATGATGTTGCGTACGATCTCGTATGACGTTGCGCGCGGTATAGCGTATGATGCTGCGCGTGATGCTCTGCAACTTGTTTTGCTAAATCTTTAATGTCCTATGCTGATTTACTTGTTTGCCGGAGAGGCGATCGTAAAGTTGGCAATTTGCTGTTTAAGGAGGTTGCAACGAAGGCCAACACAGATGAGGCCGGACAGCACTCTGAACAAACCTGTAATTACTTCTCCTTCATTGAGAAGCAGATTGTTAGCTTTCTGGTTGGACACTGGCTGTTTCAAGTGTCTGTGTGCGCCCCTGTGTGTGGCGTAGGCGTGTGTGTGTGTGTGTGTGTGTGTGTTTTGTGTGGACGGCTGTTGTCGACTTTGTTAGTGGCAGGCTTTGCGCTTTTGCCCGCTAGCAGCGCAAGACGGGCTTAAGTTTCGGGGGGGCAGGCATGACTGTGTTTGCAGGGGTGTCCACGTTGGGCCCTTGCGGTATTCTGTGCAAACGGGGCCATGTCGAAGTGCCCCAGCAGGAATGCCGCGCAGTCCCAGTTCCTGATGTCGCAGAGGATGGTGGGCTCATATTTCAAGACGACGTCCAGTGATATTACTTCCCAGCCGCTGCCTCGAAGGCCCTGCCAACCGACTTCGTGCCGCAGAACAGTTCCAGCAGTCGCGGCATCGCTTTCCACAGAGCAGGAGGTCAGGAGCTACATCCCCGCAGCGAAACTTGCGAACGCGCAGGCGGCGGCGCAGTTCATGATCAGGTAATCTTGCAGGGTGACTGGCGTCGCGTTGGTCGGACCAGTTTTTTTCTCCTGCAAAAAAAGCTCGCAACATGAAGCTTGCATTGGGGCTGGACGTTCAGACGAATGCCAAGGGAGGGTGCTTCATGTCTATCGAGAACTCTCATCGGGGCACGTCGCAGTGCTCCTCTGCTGTGGAGGAACCTAAATTTAACTTACATAGCTGCTAACGCCGAGCTCTATGCACTTGGCTCCATGCACTTCACTCTCTATCCATTTGACTCTATGCAAGTTGGTCCGAGAGCTCCGCGCACAAGAGCCCTTCGCGATGCTTTTGGGGAAAAATGACTGGGGCAATGAAAACCTATAGCCTTAGTTTGTTCATGTTTTTCTATTAAGTGAAGAAATATTTGACAAACTTGAAAAATGCAAAAACAAAAAAAACAAAAATCAAGGGGGGCACTGAACAAAGACTGCAGGAAGATTCCCGGTCAACAGTTGACACAATTGCAAGAATGGCCAGAGAACAAGACTTTGGTTGACTGACAGGCCCACGCGGGTATATAATACATTCTATTCCCTGTTGCCCGCCCACCCCCGCTTGGTTGTGCTGCAAAGCGATTTGCACCACGCAGGTGGCTGAAGCGCACTAGACCCGCCGAAGCCAAACATGTGTGCGCGGAAGCAAAGGCAAGTCAAAACTCGGCGCGGAAGCGCGCCAAAACATTCGGATGCCTACAAGCCTCGCGGAAGGCACCCTTGGACGCGCGGAAGCGGTGTGGAAGGTTTTTCGGAACTTGTCGAAATGTCAAGAGAGAATAGTGGCAGGGAAGAATGCTCTTCTCAGGAAAAGCCTGAGAGGGTGTGCATGATTGGGCTTATGCAATTTTCACCAGGAGGGTGCTATTGTCTCAGAGTTTTTGAGACAGAACGATTTCATGCACAACATTCGATTGAAACTATGGGCGGCTAAGTCTCTAATCAGCATGATGTTCCAGAAGTTGCTAGCACCAGCTTGAACATGGATGTCCGCGGTCCTTGGCTATTCTGGCTCCCAGCGCTGATTTACGCATCGCAAGTTTCACATCGCAGGCCCTAGGCCTGGCGTTTGCCTTCTGAGTTTCACAAACGTGATCAGCCAGGCGGGGGGCGGCAAATCCTGAGTCGACGCCGGGTCGTGGGAGCATGTCCGCGGTGCTACTCCCACTCTCAACGCCGGCATGGCCTTGTAAATTGTTTTTACCTCAGAATGTTCGTTTGCTGGATGGCCCAGCCGTCTTCTTCACAGCGTTGAGTGCGTCGCAACCTCAAACCATCCTGATCAAGCGTGCCATCTAATTGGTGTTGCTGGAAGGATTGTTCATTTGAGGGAGGGATGAGGCGATTGTTCCCCACGTTCTTGTGCGGGGTTCTTACTTTCAATGTCATCGTCCGCACCTCTATTCCGCGTTGTCCTCCTCCTCCTCCTCCTCCTCCTCCTCCTCCTCCTCCTCCTCCTCCTCCTCCTCCTCCTCCGCCTCCCGCGCCCTCCTCCTCTTCGTTTCACTCCCAACTTACTTTCGCGCCCGGTTTCTTTTGCTGGTTCTGGAACAAACATGGCCAATGGCCCTGACACTTGCGAGGCAATGAAGCTCTGCAAGTGCATTGGCTACCGCAGCCGCCAGGTACATCCGGAGGCTCGTTGTACAACCATTCAAAGACTTCCCCCACTGACCCCTAGACCAAACCCCAAAGCAGAAATCTGACAGTGAAGCCATATTTACCCCTAGATTATCCTTAATTTACCCGAGCAATGTCGGCGGATTTACGCTTAGTTGTTGGCTTCCCGATGCAAGTTGTGCACTTTCATGGATAGCCCAGAGACATGTTGGGTGCGTCGCCTGCGTCGCACTCCTTGGTTCCACACACCCTGCCTCAGCGAAAAGCACTGGAACCCCCATAGAAGAGTTGTGAACTTTCGAGCTCGATCTATCCCTGACTGATCAGGGACTGCTGCTTGTGTTGCTTTGCTTGACTTGAAGCTTGTTTTTTTTTGAAAAGGCTGCGAGAGGCCCAAGAGGCCGGGGCCCCTGAAAAAAACGGCGCAAGACTGACAGACGGGCAGGCGCCGCCAAGCCCGGGGCTTGGACCGATGTTGGCCCAGACGTGCCATTGGAGTCAAGACTTTGCATAACCTATTACGTCTTCACATGTTTATGGGTTGCATGACCGCGCTTTCTGCAAAGACTGGCACTAGTTTCCCACCAGCCCTGACACCAGTTTGTCCGAACGCCGCTCAAGTTGTGAAGCGCCCGCAAGAGGTTTGCCCCTTTCAGTCGGTGCAACTTGTGACGTTCGCGCCTGGAGGTGGCACTCCCCCAGGCCAGACGCTGATGGAGGCGCTCGCGTTGAAAGTTGCGCCATGTTGCGCCAGTTCCGAAAGCTGCTCAGTTCCAAGGGCTCGAGAGCCCAAGCAGAATCGCCGATCTTTGACAAGATGACAAACATATTTCGGCATGGGGCAGCGCGGTATGAAGGAATGCACCAGGTTGCCGATTGCAAAAGAGCTGCGAGAAGCTGCATGCCAGTGTGGCGGGGGAGGGAATTTGAGCCGCCATAGAAGGGGGCTGGGCGTCTGGAAGTTAAGCAAAGCCGAATTTTAGCTGACGCATGGCTGGTCAAAGCCCAATGCCACCTTTAAGAGAACCATCTGAGGCAGTTGGGATTTGCCGCCCAAGATTTGAGCAGACCTTGATGTCCAGCTGCAGGAGGCAGTGAGCTGTGCCTCTGGTGCCGAGCTGCAGGATCCAGGCGCCCAGGCGGGCTCAGTCTGGGACCTTTCGGTGCTTTCGGTTTTGTTAGACCAGCCCGAGAAAAACAACAGAAAATTGGAAAAAGTGGAACAGCCGGAGAAGAAGAATGGGAATGACTGACGTGATGTGTGCAGCCACATACACCGATGTGTACATGGGATTCCTCGCAGTCTGACCATTCTAAGCATGGCTTAAGCTAGGTGAACGCAGGAAGTCACTACCCAAAGCGACAGACGGGCTGGGAGGTATGATGTTTTCGTGTGCGTATGTTGCAGGTGAATTTGAGGTTGAGCTTCATTCAGTTGCATTCTGTGCGTCTAGATGTTGGATTTGTGTTTGCTTGAACTCCAGCAATTGCGTTTGTGTGGCGGCGTCATTCATGGTCTTCCGTATGAGGTTTTTCCACATGTTGAAACAACGGACGCGTTTGACCTCTGTTTTCAGATACCGCAAGACAATGCAAGCATTCAATCAGCAAGCCCCAACCCCCCATCTTCCCTCCCCCACAGAGGGGTTTTGTGCTTTCCTAAGTCAAACATTGATGACATGGTAGTCTGATTGCCTGCTCGTGTTTGGTGCATGCGAGCATATATCATGTGCCAATGTTTGGCGACTGCAGGCTGTCAAAAGCCACACTGACGCTGCGGTCAGAGGTTCATCCCATCCTTGTCATCAGGGTGCGTTTGTTGTTGCGGGTCTTGGCCCTGTCTGAAGCTGTTGGACGCCACGCATGCAGCGCACGCTTAGTGGACTCGCCGCAAATTGCCCGAGTGAATTGCTGTCAACGCAACTCATCATGTCTCGTTGTCGCAGTGCTGTTGTTTGGCAAGCCTGCGTTCCTAGTCTCATCCGCCTTGGCCATCACATTAAACGTACAGCTGCGCCTTGGGCTATGATGCTGTTTGTCGAAGCGGCTCAATCTCTGCTACTCCTCGCCTGTGGCTCGCGGCCTCCAGCTTAGCGCGTGCATTTTCAGGGAGACAAAGATGATCTTTGCCGGTAAGCAACTGCAGACTTTGCCACGTCCTATCTGTTTCTGACAAGTGTTGCTGCCAGCGTTGCCACGCAACAGAGAAGCTGAGCAGACCCAACACGATTCTGCACATGGCCGGGCGGCTCTGCCTTGTCAGGTTGGGACGCGCGAAGGTCTCACCTGCCTTGTAGGGCCAGTTGTATCCAGCTCGCCAGACAATCTCCTGCTGCCTTCAACCCACTCAGCCACCTGGCTTCTCAAGCGTTAGCAGCATGCAAGAAACCGGATTGTGCTGTCCAAAGGCGAAAACTGTCTGATAATCTAGTGATGGATCTTACGTTGCGTGGCATCGGCTTTTCCAGGCGTGGAACTGCACGCTTGAAGCTACCCATTCGCTGTGGCGCTCAAATTGGCAGCTGGCAGATACACCGGCGCTTGGTGTTTTTTTTGTGCAGCGGCCCGGCCCCATCTTGAACCCGCTCTCTTGCCTCGGACGTGCTCAAGCGGGCTGGGGAAGTTACAGCCTGTCAAGGTTCCTGCTGAAATTCAACGGTGGCATGTCAGCTTCGAAAAGCTCAAGAAGATGCGAGCTACCAGTGATTCATGATGTCGGTGCCAGCTGCTAAGGAGGTTGCATGAACACACATGATGGATCGAAGCTGCCCAAGCCCGCAGGGAAGAAGTGGCAAATCTGTTACTTGTGTGCAGAGGTTTTGCCAAGCCACCAGGCCAAGGCCCCAGAAACATCCCGCGCTGCCAGGCAGATTTGCAGATGCTACCAAGCCCGCGGCTCAGACCGATGCTGGTGCTCAAGTTGCAAAGCACAGGTGTGCCCTTCTGGCTGGTGCAACTTCAGGCGACACGCCGTCAGACGAGAAGGAGGGGGAGGAGGAGGAGGAAGAGGAAGAGGAGGCGCGTGAGTTGAATACTGCTACGTTGCGCCACGTTGCTCCATGTTGTGCTATGTTGCACATTCCAACCACGGCTTGGGAATTCTAACCAGGCTTCATTTGGGAATCCGATCGGCATTTTGCGATCTTCTTTGACAAGATGCGGTTCAAATGGAAGTGGCCAGATACAATCAAAGTCAACGAGTAAGGATTGTTCAGGGTCGTTTGCGGGTTGCGGCCCCAGGTGCATCTTTTGACGATCGCCCCTCATAAGCTGATTCCACCAAGTCACCGTGGACGAAAGAACACCGGGTTTCTCTGGCATCGTGGCTTGTTTGTGTGTTGCCATGGGCCTGCCAGGATGGTCGCAATGCGCACGTCCAGATCTTGGTGTTGTTGCTTGTGATATTGTTTGCCTAGATTCTCAGATCCTCAGATCCTATTGATTGAGGTGACAAGCTGGCCCCCGTTGCATGCCGGAGTCGCTTTGCGCGCCAGCCCTCCGCAACAGGACGCTCCCATCAGCAGTCGGTTGCAAATCTGGCCGGTTGCCGGTGCCAGGACAGCGACGCGGAGGCCGGTGGGCTTGCATGCGCCAGGCTCGGTTGTGGTGGGTGTTGGCAGGACTGGCTCGCCAAGAGCCGCGAGGAGGTGGAGGCTTTTGGCGAAGAGGAGGTTCTGAGCTGGGCCGAAGCGGTGCTGAGAGCCAAAGGCTACAAAGGAAGCCGCGGCGACAGCAATACCGCAATTAGCCGCACCTTAAGCGTCTTTAAAATCAATTTTGTCATCGGAGCGGCCCTGCTGGAGCTGACACTGGAGAAGATGATAGCAGCTCCGTACAACATCCCTGGCGGCCCAGCGGAACTGCTGGCGAAGAAGATCCAGCTGCTGTTGAAGGAGCCCCAGGCACGGCTGGAAAATCGTTTGCTGCTCTTTGTTCTGAAACGTGCCGTTGGGCGTTGTGCGTGGTTTTGAAATCCCCTGCCTGAGAGCTTAGAACAGCAAAGAATCACAGGCTCTCACCAGAGCTTTGCAAATCGGGCAGTTGCGCTGGTCGCTCGTTGAGGACTTGCAGGCTTGAAATAGCTAGAGTTACTGGGGCAAGGGAAGCGGACCTGCAGAGAGACTTGCCACTGACAGGCTGCTGTGCAAGTTTCGGGCCCGTGGCTCAGATCAAATGTCAGTCCAGACGGCCTCGCGCACAGTACACGCATAGGAAAGTGGGAGCAGTCAGAGTGGCTTTCGCAAAGAGTCTGTGCGTGTGATTCAGCTGATATTTCAAAGCACGTGCACACAAACACACAGCACACAAGAAAGAGACCGATTGCCCATGTATTTGGTCGGTGCAGCTTGTGAAGAGAGGGCGGTCGGAAGTTTGAATCCGAAGGTGACAATCTCCCACAGAGGAAGAACGAAGAGGCGCGCATCCTTGCATGTTGTACCAAGAGTTTCCTGTTCTTTTTGGAGAAGCCAGACTTTGTTCCAACCATGGGAATCCGGCAAAGATGCTGGTCTTCTTTGACAAGATTTGAAGCGGTTTGGTTGGTAGATATATTGGTGCCAGCCAGTTCTGCTTTGCCTTGAGAGGCCCAGGCAGCTGCAGGCAAGCAGGCTGGGAGGGTCTAAGCTGCAATGGAAGTTGCTGAATGGCTGGAAGTGAACCTATCTCTAATAAGGTTTTGGCCTATGTTCGCCAGCTGGCATCACGATGCGTCAAACATCGTCAAGGCACATCCCCCTGTTTTCCACATCTTTTGCTACCCCAAGAGTACTCGAAGGTGGAGTTGACCAGCTAAGATACAGGGGCTGCTCGAAGAGACTGTTTCCTGGCAGCCTGCGATGGCAAGCGGTGGCTTGCATTAGTGAAGACATGGAGTTGGGTTCAATGCCTGGTGTGAAGCGCAGCTTTCAATCGGGCTGCTGAACGGCTTTGGATCGAGCAGGGGGGGTTATCCTCTATCCTCTCCAGTATCCGACACGCCGAGCAATGTCGGCGGATTTACCCTTAGTTGTTGGCTTCCCGATGCAAGTTTCATGGATAGCCCAGAGACAGGTTGGGTGCGTCGCCTGCGTCGCACTTCTTGGTTCCACACATCCTGCCTCTGTGAAAAGAACAGCAACCCACATTGAAGAGGAAGTGCTACATTCTGTGAACTTTCGATGTCGATTTATCAGGGATCTCGGCAAGGCAAGAACTGCTGCTTGTGTTGCTTTGCTTGACGCCTGGAAGCTGGATTTCTTTGAAAAGGCTGCGAGAGGCCCAACGCGGAGAGGGCGATGAACCCGGAGAACTCAACCCTTCCAACACTGCTCATTGCAGAAGTTAGCCGAGCGACCAGGGCAAGGGAAGCCGGGGCCCCTGAAAAAAAAACACGCGCTGACAGGCAGACGGGCAGGCGCCGCCAAGCCCGGGGCTTGGCCCACACGTGCCATTTGGAGACTTTGCGTAACCTATTATGTCTTCGCATGTTTATGGGTTGCATGTGGCAAAGAACCGCGCTTTTCGCAAATATTGGAATAAGTGTTTAAGTTTCACTTCTTAGAACCTGATGCCAGTTTGCCCGAATGCCGCACGCAAAGAAGAGGTTTGCCCCTTTCAGCCGGTGCAACTTGTGACAGAGAGGCGGCCGGAAGTTCGCGCCTGGAGGTGGCGACCCCCCAGGCCAGTCGCTGACGGAAGAGGCGCGCGCGTTGAAAGTTATGCCATGTTGCGCCAGTTCCGAGGGCTTGAGTCCAGCCAGAATTGCTGTTTGTGACAGAAACATGGCTGGCAGTTCTGCCCAAAGGAGCACATGCCTTGAGGCATGAAGGAATGTGACAGGTTGCAAAAGAGCTGCGAGAAGCCCCGGCTGCGGGGGGGAAACTTGAGGAATTAAACAAAGCGAATTTTGTTTGACGCATGTGGTCACCGCCAACCAAATGCCACCTTTAAGAGAACCATTTGAGGCAGTTGGGCATGCCCCCAAAGATTGGAACAGACCTTCATGTCCTGCAGGAGGCAGTGAGCTGTGCCGAGTTGCAGGATCCAGGCGCCCAGGCGGGCTCAGTTCGATACCTTCGGTTTTGCCAGCCCAGACCAGCCCGAGAAGAGCAACAGCAAATTGAAAAAAGTCGGACAGCCGGAGAAGAAGAATGGGAATGAGAGACGTGCTGCGTGCGGCCACGAACAGCGAGGTGCGCATGAAGGTTCCTCGCAGTCTTGCCATCCTAAGCATGTCTTAAGCTGAGTGAACGAAGGAAGCTCGGGACTCGCACGCCCAAAGCTAAGCTACAAAAGGGGCTTCGAGCCGCGAGCTATGATTTCTGCCCGTGCGACTGTTGCCAGTCATTTTCAAGTTGCCTTCATTGAGTTGCATTCCGCGTGTCTAGTTGTTGGATTTTGGGTTTTCTTGATCTCGAGCAATTGCTGTAGTGAAAGGCTGACAAGTAATGGCATCATTGCACGGTCTGCCCGATGCATGTTATTTCACATGTTGAAGACGAACATGTTTGACTTCTGTTTTCAGATACTTCGAGACAATGCAATTGTTGATGACGTGGTTGCCCGGTTGACTGCTTGTATTTGGTGTGCGAGGAAGGCATACTATGCCGACATTAGATACCATGCGAATCCATCTTCACGCTGCGGTCAGAAGTTTCTCCTGTCCTTGTCATCGGGCTCATCAGGCTGCGTTTGTCATGAGTCTTGACGCTGTCTGAAAGTCTTGCCCGCGGCATGCAACATATCGCCGCCGCCCGGTGGCCAGCGGCCGCAAAGTCTCCCGATTGAAGCCAGTCACAGTCAACGTCGCAGCCTGCGCAGCGCAACCGAAGAGCTGGCAGGCCCAACACGGATCCGCGTGTAGACACCCGCTGCCAGAAGTTATTGCGCCTTCTAGGTCCCGAAAGCTCCCAATTCGGAGGGAAGGGAGTTGTTCCATTTGCCAGCACATTGCTTCGTTGATGCTGACTGCTCGCTTTGCGCACCGAAGACAGTTTCCCTGCGATTCACGGCGCCTGATGCGACCACGCCACACTTGCCACACTTGCCAGATCGCATGTGCCAGAACCCGTACGGGCTGCCCGAGTTGACCATAGCTGAATGCAAGCTCATGCATAGTCAGCTGAACTGCCGATGCAGCAACAGACAGCGATCACGTGGATGCCTGTTCAAATTTGCCACCTTAAGAATGGCACGTGGCGCCGAAACCCTGCATTGAAGTTCAACTAGCTCTTTGAACACTTGGACTGCAAAGAGACAGGGGTCGTTGGAGGGTTGGAGCCTGGGGATATCTGGGGATGCTGATGCTCTTGGCTTGGCATGAGGATTGCGAATGGGGACCCTTGCGGGTCAAGCTTGGGATGGCAAACGAAACAAACAGTTCAACTCGGTTTCTCAGCGTTTCGCCGCCGTCGCGAAAGAGAAACATGTATGGTGCCAGGAGCAGTTTTCCGTGCCATCCCTTTGCCAGCGGTCAAGACGACCCTTCGCAAGCCAATGTGTTGGAACTACTAGCTTTGCATTTTTGAAGTCGCACTGGAAGGTATGGGTGATCGCTCGGTCGATAGGGTTACTGAGGCACCAGGGCATAGGAAACGGATCTTGCGAGAGACTTCCCGCTCCGCTGACAGGCCGCTGCGCAAGAAGTATCGGGCCGGTGGCTCAGACCGAACAACAAAGAGTGGAGAAAGTGTGAGTATATACGTAGTTAGAGTGGCGTTCGCAGAGAGTTTTTGTACGTGGTTCAGATAGAACATTCAAATCACACACACACACACACCGCATGCACACATATACATGAGACAGAGTTTGCCCATTTGGTCAGTGCAGATTGTGACACAGAGGGCGGACAGAAGTTTGCGCGCGGAGGTGACAATCAACAAGACAGGAAGAAGGGAGAGGTGCGCTCGCTTTGTTGTGCCATGTCGTGCCATGTTGCGCCATGGTGCGCCATGGTGTGCCATGTTGTGTCATGGTCCATGCTGCTCATGTGTTTTGAGAAGCCGGGCAACTGCGGCCTGGAGAGCAATCATTCTGAGCTCCTTTGACAAGACGTGGATTTGACTAGGTTTGGTTGATCAGAAACATGGGTGCCAGCCAGTTCTGTTTAGCCTTGAGAAGGGAGGGAGGCTGGGGAGGGATGTGGAGCTGCCACCATGGAAGTGGCTTGGTGGCTGGAAGTTTATCCATAGTATCTATAGTTTTAGCACAACGTGCTCTAGCGCGCATCACCACGATGCCTCAAACATCACCACGACGCAACCCTGTTTGCCACATTACGCTCGCGTATTGCGATGCCCCTCACAAGTAGTTGAAGATGGAGTTGACCACCAAAGATACAGCGGCTCTTCTAAGAGTTGTTTCTCAGCCGTATCCCATTCTTGCCTTGTCGTCCCAGGATGGCGAACGGTGGCTTGCATCAGTGACGAACACACTAAAATGCGTGGTAATCCTGCAAACATGTTACGTACTTAGAATCTTCCGCCTGACAACAACAGTTCTGATGGGTGAAGATCTATACGACAGTTGAAAAAGCGCCGCGTGCTAAATACGACAAAGGATGGCCAGAATGGACTTGCCGGCTCGGAAGTCTGCTTCAATGCAGGTGAACATACAATATGGCAGTGAGGCATGGAGCCTGATAGTTCAAACACATGTAGGGGTCAGTATTTTTCGACTTTTGTATCATGGAGTTGGGTTCAATTGGGCTGCTGAAACGGCCTTGGGTGGAGCAGTCTCAAATGCACGGTTGGGAACTTAGTAGCTCAAACAAACAGATCGATTTTTAACTAATCCCCTGGCTCGCCACCATTGAGCCACAATCAAACTTCTTTAACACCAGGCCCGAAAGCCCGGCTGAACCCACGATTTTTGCAGGCCACGCTGTTGGAGCTCTGATAAGTGCTGTATTTAACCATTGAGCCCACGCAGCACGCAAATGGAGGAGGGAAGGTGACGAGGCAGAGATGCCAGGGATGCGGGTGCTGAACTTGCACTGGTTAATAACGCTGGGGATGCTTTGCAGCAGGCTGACCTAGGCTTACGCCGATTTTGGGACGACACACCTTGAACTGGTCTTAGCCAAAAAAAACATGCGCAAGACAGCCCAACATGCCTTGAAACTCGAGATGATTCCCAGTTGTGACTGTGGGAGCTCCGTGCAGATCCAAGTGCCCGTTTGTCCCAATGTCGCGTCCCAGAGCCCCAATAAACGTCTCGAAGGCACTTGAGTGTCAAAAACCTTTGGCCGTTGCACGATGACGCCTGCCAGCTTCAAGACCTCGATGTAGCTGCGCTGCTGCTTCTTGGCCTCGGCGTGGCAAGCAGCGTCCTGCAGCCTGTCCCGCACGGGCCAGTTATACCTCTGGTAGCACGCAATGTTCCGAGCCACTGCGGGCTCTTGGGGTGCATCCAAGGATTTCTTCTCCAGGGGGCCAACCCAAACTTCTCGCAGGCGGTCCCATTCTGTCCACTCCCACGCTTTGCATTGTGCGCAAGACTGACACTTTGATTGCTTGCGGCGTCAACAAATCAAAAGCAAGAGTTTCAATATCAATTGACCATAAAAAGGGGCAAAACCGAAACTGGTTGGGCAAAAATCTGAACGTGGGTTTGCTGTCGATCGCCTGCAAGAAAATCAGTTCTCGGGTTGGACGCCTCCGCCTGGCAGGAGAGCGAGCCGCAGGAGCGGCCGAGACCGCGTTGGGGCACAGCTTGGGGGAGTGTTGCGGGAGTGTTTTGTTTAAATTCGATGGCAAAAAGGAACCACTTGTTTCTAGATACTTTTTAGAGGTAGAGCTGCAGTGCATGTTGGTGGTGACCCAGGATCATTATGGATCATTGGGAAAGCATTGGAGCATTTGTCATGTTGGTTGATTTCCCGAAGAGATGAGGGGCATCGTTACCACGATCAACAGAAAGCAGGTATTTTTTACAGGCAGGCAAATCAGCCGTGAGGAATGGATTTGTGCCGAAATTTGTACTTGGACCTCGATGTGAGGTGTAGTTTCCAAATTTCCAGGCTAACACGGCGTGTGTGCGGAGGAGGTTCGAAATGGCCCCAACCACACAAAGCGTGTGGATGCGCATGTTGGGGCCCATATGACAAACAACAGAAACACGGGAGGAAAAGTGCCGAAGAAGCGCGGAAGTAACGCAAGTAACGCGCAAGGTGCGCGGAAGACGAGTTTGTCCAGCCTTGGGTCTTTGCGGAGAAGCTTGCTAGATGATGAGCCTGGTTTGGACATCCTCGGATTAGAAGCGTCGCACTTGAACATGCCGTTGCGTTGAAATGTAGTCATGGATGTAGTTCGCCATCAGAGAGAATCGGGCAGTTCTTATCTAGCCGTCAGATCTCTTTAGAACAAGGTTGAATTATTGTTGCTTGCTAACACATCGATTATAAACGTGTCCATGTATTGCATTGTCACTCACAGCTAGACAGACAGCGGGAACGCTAGCAGCTCTTAACCAAGGAGCTAAATCCGGACACCTTGCAAGGACTACGACCTGCAGAACATGTCGGGCCTGCTCGCCTTCCTGCGCGATGCCAACATCCGCCTGGTGCGTCCTCAATTCCTTCGGGAGTTGCACCAGGCCGGGCGCGCCTGGCCCCGGCGCCAAGAGGCGGAGACGGCGCGGACGGCCAGCGGAGAGCCGGCACTGCTGAGCCACGACGAGTTGGAGCAGAAGGCCACGCAAGGCTGGCAGGCCTTCAGCATCCTGTCCTTCTCGCACTGCTGGGAAGCCAAGGCCCGGCTGTCGCGTCGCGTTCTTCCGAATGGTTTTTCAAGCCAACCAGCTGCAAATGTGTCGTTTTGTTCTCTCTGGCCAGAGGGAAAGTAAGCAGGAGCACCCGGACCCGCTGGGCTATCAGCTGAAGATGCTGGTGGAGGCGCTGCAGGCCTTCCCCGCGGAGTTCACCCGACGGACCAATGGCAACCAGCTGGACCCCGACTGGGACGCCGCGGTGTTCATCGATTATGTGTCTCTGCACCAGTTCCAGAGGAGTGAGGCGGAGGACTCCGATCCTAGTGTGAGAGTGCAGGCAGGAGAATCAACAGCCAACCGCCAAACACCTTGGATGCTTCTTTGGCTTCGCTTGGCCTGCGGCAATCAACACCATGTAACAGGTGCAATCAGTATGTTCAGCCTTTAACCCGAGGAAAGCTAAGCAAACACATTGGAACGGTTGCCAAACCCGCAGCCAGTCGCTGTCCAAACAAGGAAAAGTCAGCAGAATTGGAAATTGTTTGTCTACACTGTGCTACTCTGGGGTCACAAGATCTGATAGTTCTTGTTGAATGCCCGCAGGTTGACAGGATAGGGGGGATCAGTTGGCAGCGGCGAGTTGGACACGTGGCGTCATGTCGTAAAAACTTTAACCGGCTTCGATGGTTTCAGGTCACTGATGCGTTCGGGGCTGAGACCTGTCTAAGCCGTTCCACTTTCTCTTGGACTTACTTCAAGTTGATTGGTGATGCATACAAGCTCTGGAGACACCCACGGCCAGATACACGAAAAGGAGGTGGGCATCTCTTGGACATCCATTTATATCGATCTTATCTTGTTTCTCCAGCTTTGTTCTTTTGTCATTCCTCTCTCCACTTTTGAATTGGAAAGGATTGTGGGAGAGAGTGCCCGCTGGCCAGTTCTTTCCAAAGGTTGCATGATGTAATATTCCTGCATCTTTTGTCCGTTCCTTTCCATGTTCTTACAAGCGATTGCATCCTGACGAATGACATGAACGGAACATTAAGAACACACCATCTCTATCTCTCTCTCTCTCTCTCCGCCTTTTCTTTTTTTCCTCTCTTTCTTGACGTGTTTCTGTTCATGCCTCAAAACGTTTAGGCCCCGAGGCGCCTCTGGGGGCCAAGATGAAGCCGTGTCACATGCCGCGATGTTTCTGGAGGAGCCGTACTTCCAGGCGGCCATGCGGGGGATGCACACGCTGTACTGCCATGATGAGACGTACACCCTCCGCCTGGAGGATCTGACGCCCACGGAGTGGGCTCCGCCAAGAGAGGCGGTCAGCCTGTACAGCGCCAGGGACCGCTGCGTGTGCAGCGTCCCCCTGGCCAAGCTCCATGCCCCGCCCGCCCACCAAGGTGGACAGTGCCCTGCCACCTGTGACTGGCCACTGCACCCCAACAACACCCCATATACCGAGCGGGGGTGGTGCGCTGCCGAACAGCAGTGGTCCCTTTCCAGGGCCAATTCCTGGCACAGCATGCGCCTCCCCCTGGGCACGCCGGAGATCTGCGAGGCCCCGCTGACCCCGGAGGCCTTCGCTGACGCCGTGCGGGCGGGGGGCCTGAAGTTCACCCATCGCGGTGACGCGGAGCCGGTGCTGCGGCTGCAGCGGCACGTCTTCGAGTCGAAAACCGCGGTGACCACCCGCCTGGACTTTGGCGACCTGGGTCCGGACGGGGTGCGGGCGGCCGCAGACTGCCTGCCCCACTGCAGGCGGCTGACAGAGCTGAAGCTCACCAGAAGCAGCGTGGGGGATGAGGGAGCCCAGGCCGCGAGCAGAGACCGGCGGGGGGGAGAGGGCTGGGTGGCAAGGTCAAGGAGAAGCCTATTTGAGGGTCCCCTGATAAATCCGGACCTCTCCGCTCCTTTTCTTTTGTGAACCCTTGTTCGGCCAATAGGTTTGAAAAACAAACTTGTGTCTTACTTGTCAGGGCTGGAGGTTGGGGTTGCCTTGTTGAGGAAACTAGCCTTAACCTTGATGTGGTTAGGAATTGTATCCCTGGCAACTATGAACAGAACTCAAGTATGAGCACGCTTTGACAAACACATTGGCGCTAGCTTCGGGAATCAACAATTGTGTTTGCTAGGTGTTTGACTTGTGGTCCGGCGGAAAGCGACATCTTCAACCGGGAGAGTTCTGATTTGCCACGAGCTGCAGTGGCGGGAGGGGTGCCGGGGCCACGGTTGGCCAGGTGGCCACGGACTGTTTTAGGCATGGGGAGAGCGCGGCAGGTCTTGGCCCGTGGCCTGGAGACTTGCAGTCCCCTGGAGCTGCTGTGGCTCTTCGAGAACAGCATCGGCGACAATGGCTGCAAGGCTGGCAGGGCATCGACAGGATTTGCAGGCTTGACCTGCCCGGCTACCCTCGCTTGGGAAGTGACTTTTTGGCATATGGTGCTTGAGTTAGGCTCCTTGTTGCCGAGTGGTGAACTTTGTAAGCTGCACATTAATTGCATTCTGTTTGCTTTGAGGCAGCTGTCACATGCCCCATATGTTTTCCATGCTCCTGGAGAGGGTGCAAATCCAGCAATTATTGATACAGTTAGCAAATCACGCTTGCCAGGCACAATGCTGCATTGCTTTTGTGCAAATTTGCGAAGGTGGTGTTTGAGCTTTTGCTCAAAGCTCCCCAGGCAGCTTCAAAGCTTTCAGATTCTCCCTGCAACAGGGCGTGGGGAAGTGGAACATCCCTGCTTTTGACAGGAAGTGGCTGGAGGTTTAGGTCATGGATGACAGGCGTTTCGGGGGTTGAGTTGGAAGATCTACTTCTTTTTATGATCCCCTTCCATAATGGCCAGTGTCAGATTACTCCCGCCATAGCTTGCTGGATTCAGCCATGTCATGAGCAGAGGCTTCAAACAATTGTTTTTTTGCGCTGGCTCCAGAGTTGGTCCAAAAGGCTGGCGCCAGGGTGCTCCAAAGCCTTGAGATGAACAGGGACAGGAATTCACATGTCTTTCCGATGATGGTTCCTTGGAAATCAGACACGTAAAAGCGATGATGTGTTGCTGTATGTCCGAAAGTTAGATAGAGTTGGGGGATATGTTGAAGCATTCTTCCAGAATTATGCCAGAGAAACGCATGAGCGCCCCCAGAGATGGTTTTTGCCCCAGTCGCTCCTGAACATCATTCTGTGACCATGGCAAAAATTGCCATTCCAAATTCCGGGACTGGGTTTCAAGCTTTTGAGGCCACAAGCCACAGCTCCAAGCAACATGTTCTTTGAATGATGGATCCTGCCCCTCATTACCTGAAATCCCTCAAGATGCCCGAATAGAGTTGTTTTGCAAGCCGTCACTTCTTCCAAATGGTGCTCGAAATCGTGACGTTCCTTTGCCAGCCTCATGTGCCTGTTTGATTGAGACTGAAACCTGCGCCATATCTTTTGGCTTTTTCTCTTTTCCCGCACTGCCGGAGAGGTTTTCACCCAGTAGACAACTTACCAGGCACAGCGCTGACAGGCTTCTGTCCAACTTTGACAAGTGGTATTTCAGCTCTCGAGCTCTCGAGCCTTTTTTGCGGTCCCAAGTGGAGCTTCGAAGCTTTCGGATGCTCCCTGCAGAGGAAGCGCATTTGTGGTTTGCGAGTTGCAGATGCTGCGCCAGGTTTGTTAGATGAATTACCATGTTTGTTGCATCAGTTGTTTTGTTTCCGTAGGTGGGCGCATTGTTGCTATGGATCCTCGCAGTTTGGAGCGTAGAGAATCCTGTTGCCGTGTTTGCAATCTTCGATGGCAAACAATTGGTCCACAGAAAAATTAGATGTTTGGTTTGTTTGGTTTGTTTGTTGCTTTGTGTGTGTGGTTGGTGTGTGGGAAAAACACCAAGCTTTGCATTGTTCACTTGGCTTTCAATGTCAAGATTTGATTTGCGCCAATTGCTTTGTCGCTCGGGCTGGAGACGGCACGGATTCTATGCACTTTTGTCACCTTTTTTTTTCGCTAGCGCTGTGCAGTTCACGGGTCGCAGATGATGATGCACATTTTAGGGTTCGAGTTCTAGGTGTGCTGTATTGATTTGCCATGGTTGTCACACACACACATACACAGAGTTGTCATGTGTCTGCAAGTGGGCTTACTGTGCCAGTGTTGTTGGTTTTTTGCAATCTGGAGTTTAGCGACCTTTGTTGCCACAGCATTCTGATGAGCTTTGATCGCAATGAATTCACAGAAGAGCCAAAGGTGGGGATTATCATAACTAAATATTTCTCGGCCCCTATGTTGCTTCCAATCAGGTCCGCCAAGTGCTGCTATTTATGGTGATGATAGGTCTGGCGTCTGGCGTTGTTCATTTCTTGCATGCGTGTGTGCTCTGTTGGTGCGTGGGTCGGCTTGAGGTAGCATGTTAGTCTGAAGAGAAGGGGATACGAGTTTGCTTATCGTCGACTAACTTGCCTTATCCTGGAACATTGCTGTCGTGAGCTCAATCATTATCGATCTGAAGTATCTAAGAGGGGAACTAGAATTGCCCCCCCCCCCCCCTCCCCCGGTATCTCATGTCATGAGAGGGGAATGAGATTTGTCCCACCCCCCCCCCCCCCCCAAACATAAGGTGTTCTTCGCAGGTTGGAGGAGTTGGAGCAGGAAGTGGCTGACGGATCCCAATCATGCTGCAAATTTGTGTCTAACACAAAAAGCCTCAGGTTGGCCCTTCCGCTTTTTTCTCGAATCAACTATGATGCGCTTTGAAGGTGGGGGTGGTTGGGTGACGCTGCCCGTTTAGGTCATCGATAACAGGCTTCCCGGACCTCATTGGAAGAAGCTGTTGTTCTGTTTAGAACCTAGTACATGCTGCCCTTCCAGACTGCTGAGCGTTCATTTCTGTCCTGCGTAATTTGTTGGATTCGCCCTTCCTTACCAAGTCTTTAAAGGGTGAGTCTGGGGATGGTTGGGGCGCTGTTTGTTTTCCAATTTGTTCATGGGATCTCACAGGTGGGATACATGTTGAAGCATTCGCGCAAAAATGCGGGGGTGGAAAGCATGAGGGCCCAGAGAAACTGTTTGTTTGCGGCGGAGTGGTCTCTTTTGGTATTCTCGCATCCACAAAAGCATGCCTGCTTGAGATGTTGCTGCTTCGGAGTTTGAAACAGCGTTTGAGTGAGGGGCTCTGGACACGCAAGCACATGGTATCGTGCAAGCTTCCGAATTTTTTCCCACGAGTCTGTGAACATGGCTGGATTCTCATGTCAAATTCAGGAGTGTGTTTCAAGTGTTCAAGGCCGCAAGGCACAGCTCGCATGGCCCTATTTCCACAGCCTTTGCGTTGGAAGGAAACAGGAAAGTGAACGTGTTTCGTAGCCATGCTACTGAGCCGTTGAGGAAAGACTTGAAGTATGCCCAAATAGAGTCGAGTTGCTTTGCAAGGACAATTTGTTATTAGTTGGGCTTCCCAGCAGTCACTACTTGCATATGGTGACTGAGGAGAGCTTAGATGACCTCCTTGCTCTGCAAACTTCCCATGAATTTCCTTTGCCAGTAGCAGCTCTCACATGTCCTATGCCTTTCAGCTACTACGAAAGATATGCTGCCATGCCTTTGTGAGATTTTGGAAGGCGGTGTGAGAGTTTTTACTCCAAGCTCCGGGCTGGAGCTTTTGCTTCGAAGCTTTCGGATGCTCCCTGCGGGGAATTTGGGCGGAGCGCGCCGCCCGTCCGAAGTCCGTGGCACCGCCGCCCGGGTCGCTGGGCAGGCGCTGGCCGCCGCCCTCGCCGGGCACCGCAAGCTCCGGGAGCTGCAGCTCGCCGCAACCGGCTTCGGGGACGCCGGGGCCGAGGCGGGGGAGTCGGACGGGGCCAGGGCCGGGGGATGGGGGCGGAGGGGCGCGCGAGAGTTGCCCCGCGTGGCTCTGGGTGTTGGCTCCGGGTGGCAGCGTGGCTTGACGGTAATGAATAGGTTTGACAGAAGAGCCAACTGTGGGGATGGTCAAATGTTTCGTGGCTCAGCTTGCTTGCAATTGCGTCTGCCAAGCCTGTGTTGCTATTTACTCTTGCTTTGGTTGTTCTCTTGCCTGTGTGCAGGTGGTTTGTGGATCGAGGTGAGGTAGCGAAACACCTGCGAGAGGTATGCAGGACCCCTCAGGAGCCCTTGACTTTGAGGTTAGTCTCAATCAATTGCCTTCTCTGGGAACACTTCTGGCGTGAACACAATCATTCGCCATCTTAAGTACCTGCGATTTGGCCCCCCACCACCCCCAACCCGACATCACCAAACGTTGTCATGCTTGTCGGCAATAACTTTCGTGCTCACTCTGCTTTCAGGGCCGAAGGCCTCTCTTCTCTTTTTCACAAGCCGCGCCTTGCTGACGGAACTGTTGTTCACATGGTGCTCGGGTTTGGAGAGTTCATAGACGGCCCTCGTTTGCGGGTTGGTGAACTTCAGCTTCCCCATGTCTTTTTTTGGCTTCACTCTTTTCGCACGCTGCCTGAGTGTGATTCGGAAGTTGGTGCTTGAGCTTTTGCCCAAAGCTCTCGAAGCTTTCCCGAGTCCCAAGTGGAGCTCAAACCTTTCGGATGCTCCCTGCGCCGGGGTCTGGGGCCGGAACCCGTGGGTTCGAAGGGCTCGGTGGAGGTTGGGGGCGGAGCTCGGGGCGGAGGCCGGGGGCTGGGGCCAGGCCCTGGGCGCGGCGCTGCGGCAGATGCCGCGGCTGCAGGAATTGCGGCTCAACCAAAACCAGATCGGGGGCAAGGGCGCCCAGGCGGGAAGGGGGAGGGGAAGTTTGAGGGGGCGAGGGGGTAAGATAAACCTCCCAAATCAGGAGTAAAGAGAAATTGACTATTCATGGCACCCCCGAGATTTCAACATGTCAATCTGCTCCGTTGCAAGAAGATAGTTTTGCCTCGCCGGGCGGGGGTCGGTGAGCTCTGCTTTTTGCAGAGAAGAATGGTTTGCCAGTTGTGGATGTGCCTTGTCAGTTGCATCTGGAAAGGGAGATGTCAATCATGGATTCTGTACGGTTTACGTAACGATGTCCAGCGCAGGCTTCTTGAAAGCAAACACCTGATGCTTGTTCAAACATCCAGCTGAGCTTGCCTAACTTCGTAGTCATTGCTTCCCAGGGCAAAAAAGGCACAGCCTCAAGGCCTGCGCCGAGCGTCCCCGCAGGCACTGGCCCGCGGCCTGCAAGGCACCACTGCCCTGCAGCTGCTGTCGCTTTGGGAGAACCGGATTGGCGATACCGGCTGCCAGGCCTCCACAGCGCCGCTGAGCCATTTGAACCCCTCAACAGGGCCACCCTTCCGCTCCCCCCAATCAGCCTATCTTGCTTGTTGGCTTTGGATGCCGGAGTTCTAGATGTGTGGCTGGGAGTTTCGCTGGAGTGGGAGCTGGCGCAAGCATCAAGTGTCCGTGCTAGTGGCTTCGGTGTTGTTTGGGCCGTAGCGGCTTCTCAGTTTCGGACGGTAGAGGAAGCGCATTTGTGATTTGCGAGTTGCAGACGCTGCGCCAGGTTTGCCAGATGAATTGCCATGCTTGTTGCATCAGTTGTTTTGTTTCCGTAGGTGGGCGCATTGTGGCTTGGGATCCTTGCAGTTTGGATCGGAGAGAATCCTGTTGCCGTGTTTGCAAGCTTTGATGGTAAACAATTGGTCCACAGAAGAATTAGATGTGACCGTTTCAAAGCACATGTTTGCTTGCGATCAACTGTTCAACCCCCAAGACTGTGCCACTACGCGCGAAGGTTCAATCTGAGAGCGAGGGAAGGGTTGATGACGGGTCTGTGTGTTTGTTTGCTTGATTGTTTTGTTTGATAGTTTGTTTGTTTGGTTGCTTGTTTGTTTGCTTGGTTTGTTTGTTTGTTTGTTGCTTTGTGTGTGTGTGTTGGTGTGTGGGAAAACACCAAGTTTTGCATTGTTCACTTGGCTTTCAATGTCAAGATTTGATTTGCACCAATCGTTTTGTCGCTAGGCGGGGAGACGGCGCGGATTTCCATGCACTTTTGTATCGCTAGCGCTGTCCATTGACGGGTCGCAGATGTTTAATCCAAAAGGGGTAAGCATGCACGATTCTCGGGTCAACGGAGTTTTCGGCTGACAGGTTTTTGTTTGGTTGTAGGTTTCTTTTGGATTTGGGGGAGGCCAGGATTCCCCGTGGAGTCAGGCCTCCTGGTAGAAACCCGGCCAGTGGCCCTGTGGCCTAGGCCGGGGGAGGGGTAGCTGGGGGAGGGGGGGGTCAGTGCTGTCACGAGCGGTTGGGCCAAGAAGGTTTGAGCCTTTTGGAGGGGCTTGAGCTTCCTCCTCGGCCTTGCTGGGCACACCCCCCTCCCCAGCTCGTGATGGAGGAGCTTCGGGCGGATTTGGCCCGCAAGGGAGGCACTACGGATGATTGGAACTACGGTTTGAACCTGGGCCTCATCGGCAGCGACCTCGACTGGATCGACGCGAGGGCAATCCAGGACCGGGCACGCTCAGCGGCGGACAACTTGATGTCGAAGGGGGCCTACCTGGAATACGAGTGCTACGATGCCAGGGGCCGCAGCCAAGGGCGAGCAGTGGTTAAGATTCGAGGTTGGGCTGACCCTGAGAAAGGCCTACTGGAGGCGGACCACTTGGCAGCGAGCGATGGGTACTACCAGTACTATGGCGAGAGCGAACTCTCGAAGGGCAAGGCTTTATACCACATTTGCGGTGGGGCCCGGCAAGGGTGCAATGTTCATCTCCATCGGGGTGATCGACGTGAGCTTGTTCACCTGGAGAGATGGAGGATGATCAACCCACTCCTCATGAAAGAGGTGGAGTACTTGAGAAGGATTGCCGAGGTTTGCATGCGTGAGCATGTTGTGAACTTCGCCCCGCGGGTCCCAGAGCCAGTGCTGCCCCCCAGAGGCGGCGACATTGATGCCTCGGGGATTGACAAGGCAGTGGCTGAGGCTGCAGCAGATGATGCTGACTATGAAGGAGGAGAGCGAAGGACCGAGGAGGGCCGTCTCCAAGTGGTGCCCCAGGCGTCCCGACGTGGGTCTGTAGGGGCACTGCTCGAGGAGAGGGCCAGAAGACAGACGGAGGGAACTCGAAGGAAGGAAGCAGAAAGAAAAGGGAGAAGGAAGGCAAGAAGCAGAAGCGTCAGCGAAAGGAGGAAGCGATCAAGAGGACGGAGCCGGACTAGGAAGAGAAGGAGGGACAGCCGGAGCCCAGAATCATCTCGGTCGTCGGGTTTTTGCGAGCCCTCTTCCCGGGGGGAGGGCGAGCTGTGGCGGCTAAGTCAACGACACCCCGGGCGCCTGCTGAAGAGCGGGATGAAGGAGCTCGAGCGCTACCTAGCGGATCGAGCAGGCGAGGGCACGAGCGAGGACGGATGGGCACAGCACAAAGTGATGGCGTACATCAATCAAGTCATCCTGGCTGTCCACCCCATGCAGTCCATCGGCCTGCGCAACCACAGAGAACTCGTGACTTTGGGGACCAGCTTAGATTTGCTGATGAATGGGAGGCTGGCAGAGCTGGGGGACTTGCTGATGCAAAGACTCAAAGCCCTCGAAACAAGCTTGACCGATCAGAACTGGTCAGCAGCTCGGCATCAGGAGCTGATACCGCCAGTGGCAGCCTCCTTGACTACTTTGGGAGAGCGGCACAGGACGGCCCGAGCCGAGTTGCAGCAGGTGAAGCTGAAGGAAGCGCTGCAGAAGCACAAGGCCAGCAAATAGGGGCAAGGCGGCGGGGACGCAGCCCAAAGCGCACCCGTGACGCCACCCCGTTCCAAGGAGTTGAGCTGGGCCAGGGAGAAGAAGCCGGCGGAGCGCGAGAGTGCCATGCGGAAGCCACGGCACGAGAGCGAAGAGTCCCGGAGGCCCGTTGGCCAGGGGACCGTGCGACGGGTTCAGATAGACGACCGCCCGCGCCAGATTATGAACGAGAAGGAGCAGAGAGAGGAGATGCGGAAAGGAGGAGGGGAGAACAGAGGAAGAGGAAGGGGGTTTTCCCCTCTTTGGAAAGGAGGATCAAAGTCGTGGAATCGCACAGGAAGAGGCAAGGGGAAGCAAAAAGGAAACGGGAAGGTGAAGATGAGGAGTGGAACTCCGATTCCGAGGTAGCAAGCCAAAGGAGTGCTGTTTCAAGCCGGATCGAGGGGAACTCCACAGAGCTCCTGGATGTGATGAGGGAGTGGCTGAGGGGCGAGAATTGCGGGGAACTCACGACCTCTCAATCAGGCGCCCTGCTTGTCTTGATGATCCACCGCAGTGGGACTAACTTGGGGAATTACCTGGAGAAGTCCACAAAGCCGGGGTCAGTCGCAGGCGAGGGAGGCCCGAGGCAGCGGAGCCTCATGCCTCTGCCGCTGTGGACTGACGTCCAGGAGGAGCTCAAGAAGGTTCTGGAGAGCGGTGAGTACAAGAGACTGGCGGGTAGTTGGGCTGCCAAAAAGCAGCAGAAGCAGAAGGCAGCAAAAGCCGTGAGGAGGTCCGGGCTCCTTATATGGCATGGCCTCGTGGTGATCTTGCTGAACCACCTGTGGACAGGGGGAGGTAACAGAGGACGAGTCCATCAAGGGAGTACTACCCTTGCTCAGCAAAGGGCATTGGAGAGACTTTGGGAGGTTGTGAAGGTTTTCTGCGATGATGCCTCGGAGTCAAAGGACAAGATTCCCAAGTCTCCATCAATGGGAGAATGGGGCAACCGCCTCGGAGATGTCAAGATCTCCTACACAGGGGAGATTGTTGACAAAGCTCACAAGCTAACCCTGGCTCAGGTCCTGCCTGGTTTGCCCCCTGAAGGCTACGGAGCCTCTGTCCCGCTGGCCGAACTCTGCGAAGGAGAGTTGAGGGAACGCTTGGAGGACCCCCTGTCCAACCTACTGCCTGAGGAGGAGCTCCCTGAGATCATCCCAAAACCTCGGACTCATGCTGACCAGGACCAATGGGAGGCCATTGTGAAGGTCTTGCATGCCCGCGGCCTTGTGGAGCCGGTTGAAGACCCAGTGAAGGTCAAGGGGCTTCCGATTGAGAACGGAGCCTTCGGAGTCGTGAAGCCTGGCAAGTATTTGGAGGATGAGCGACCGGTCCTGAGATTCATTATGGACTTCAGAGCGACGAACAGTGTGAGCAGAGTGCTCACAGGAGATGTGAAGAGCTTGACGGGCGCTGCGTCACTGCAGCACATCGTGCTACCTGAAGGGAAGGTCCTGAGGATGTCGGCTGATGACCTCGTGGCGGCCTTTTACCTGTTTGCCCTGCCACGTGGATGGAGCAGGCTCATGTGCTTCGGAGGCCCTGTGGCCTGGAAGTCACTGGGCTATGCCAGGGAAGGCCGTGTCCGGGTAGGAGCCACGGTCCTGCCCATGGGATGGGCGTCGGCGGTGGGAGTTCTCCAGCATGCTCACCGCCGGCTAGCCCTTCGCAGCCCGTTGCGTGGCGGCGCTGGCTTTTTGGGACGGTGTGAAATTAGGAGGGACAGTGTCTTCCCGAATCTGGAGCTGGGAGAGTCGCTGTGGTCCCTGTACTTGGATGATACGGATTTGATTGAGATCATGGACAAACGGCTGGGAAAGGAGATGGAAGGAAAGAATTCCGAGGAGCAGCTGAGGCTTAGGAGGGCTTATGAGCACTGGGGCATCCCAATCAGCTTGGAAAAGGCACTTGTGAGGGCGAAGCAGGCTGAAAAGCTCGGAGCGGTCATTGACGGTGACCGAGGGCTTTTGAGGGCAGCAACAAGGCGTGCGCTAGAGAGCCTGTCCTTGGGTGCCTGGATGCTGCGCCAGGAGGAGGTCCCACGGAAAGCCCTGCAAGTTTTCTGCGGAAAGGAGGTCCACACTATGCAATTCCGTCGGCCTACCTTTGGGATCTTCGACTACATTTGGAAGGACATCAGCGATGGGGGGCCGATGGTCCGCCTGGAGGAGAAGTCTGTCGAAGAGATCTTGATGGCAGGGATGTCCCAGCCTTTGCGTTTTACCGACCTGAGGGCAAAGCTACATGAAGTGGTGACCGCTTCGGACGCGTGCGAGACCGGAGGTGGGATGGTCTACGGTGGAAAGTTGAGCGCGCAAGGCATCAAGGAGTCTTTGTGCTTGGAAGGCAAACGGGACTACTATCCGATCGAAGCGGTGGAGCCCACGGACAAGCAAACCATTTTGGTCTTTGACTGCTTTGCTGGAATCGGAGGCTTATCGCAGGCTTTGAAGCTTGCTGGTGTCGAGGTAAATCGGCTGGTGGTCATCGAGATGGACAGCTCCTGCAGGAGGCTGAACCTCACAAGGTGGCCAGGATGCGAGGTCATGCTGGACATCCAGAAGATCAAGAAGAGTGACCTTGAAAAGGTCATGCGGAGTGTGCCTGGGTTGACGGGAGTCATTACCGGAGGTGGCTCCCCATGTCAGGGGCTTTCAAGGCTTTCCTCAAACAGGCAACATCTTGATGATCCTCGGAGTGCTTTGTTCTACAAGTTCGGGGAGGTGCTCCGCTGGGTGAGTGAGCTAGCGGCTGCCATGAAGATATGGGATGTTCAGTTCGTCGAGAATGTTGTCGGGGATGACGAAGACATCTCCGAGGTGAGCGGTGAACTGAACCGCAGGCCAATCTACTGCTGCGCCAGTGGACTTTCTAGGGTCAGGCGGCCCAGACTGTACTGGTGCAACGTGGAAATGGGGGACCATGAGAGCTTTGGGCGCGGGCACACAGCCTTGTACGACATCATTGAGTTCAACGAGAAGCGTGAGCCACTTGAGGATGTGATCGATGCTGGATGGGAGTGGCCCGCCGGCAAGGCTGACCCCAGCCTTTGCTTGCCCACTTTCACGAGGGCTATCCCAAGGACAAAGCCTCCGGCAGAGCCCGCGGGGTTGAGGCTATGTGACCAGGAAACAGTTGGGAGGTGGAAGGATGACTTGATGAAGTATCCTCCTTACACCTACCAGCAGCAATATCTCATGGAGTGCAAGGGTGAAGCTGATAAGAAGCGGGTTGCCTCCGTCACGGAGCGTGAGCGTTTGATGGGCTATCCTGCTGGCTACACCCTTGCGTTGCACAAAAAGGACCCTACAAACACAGAGGAGGAGTTCAGGCAGCAGGTGGCGCGTGAGGCGGCCATTGGCAACTCCTTCCATGCTGTGAAGGTGGCGTGTCTTTTGGACCTCTGGCTTTGGACCGCTGGAGTGCGGACTGACCCCAAGGGCGCTTCAAAGATTGTAGAGGAATGGCACCAGATGATGCGCACTACGAGGTACAACGACGAGGGCCTGATGGAAGGAACGGAGGTGACCCATGCAACGTCTCTGAGTGAGAAGGAGGAAGAAGACAGGCTGCTTCAAATAGAAAAGCCGCCAGGGCTGATGGAGTGGCTGAGGATGAGCAGCAGGGATGGTGAGCGTCTTCCAGACCCGAAGCTCCTGGCAGCCCGGCTGGTTCACCAGTACCTTCGCCGGGCCGAGTTTAGAGGATCTGACGTGAGGCTAGATCTTCAAGTAGTCTACAGACCAGATGCGGTTGCCCGAACAACCGTGGACCCACGGAGGTGGGTCTGGAAGGTGGCTCACTCCTACAAGTGGGATCGCCGTGAACACATCAACGTGCTGGAATTGCGGGCTATTCTTCATTCGCTGGAATGGCGAGCCAGATCTGCAACGTTCCACTCCTGCCGCTTTTTGCATTTGAGCGACTCCCAGATCTGCTTAGCAGTCCTTGCAAAGGGGAGGAGCTCAAGCCGCAAGTTGAATCGCATTTTGCGAAAGATTGCCGCCCTCTGCATCGCCTTGAACCTCTACCCTCTTTGGGCTTGGATCGCATCCAAGCTCAACCCAGCGGATGAGCCGTCCAGACGCTATGAGCCGAAGGACAATTAAGTATTTGACAACAAAGGAGGCAAGGCGAGAGGAGAGACGGCAGATAGGGCGGCTTGAGGACAAAAGAGTTTCACAGACTACCTTGACACGCTACCAAGAGGCTTTTGGTGACTTGGTGAACTTTGCACGCGTTTCACGGCAAGCACTGCTACAAGACGGTGGGCAGCTGAACTTGGTTCTTAAAAACTACATTGAGCATCTCTGGGAAGATGGAGACACCAGGACCATGGCAAGCTATGCCTTGGCAGCAGCTCAGTACTTTGCCCCGCAGCACAAAAGACAGATCAGTGAGGCTTGGCGCTTGGTGAGCCTATGGAGCCGGTTGGAACAGCCAATCAGAGCAACCCCGTTATCACCAGAGATGTGCCTTGCTTTTGCGGGTCTGTTTTTGCAATGGCGGTGGGAGCGGCTAGCCTACTTGACTGTTGTTGGCTTTTGTGGCTTCCTTCGCACTGGCGAGATGTTCAAACTGCGGCGGCAACATGTGGTACTCCCTGCGCGTCAGGGCCAAGCTGCCATCATTTTTCTTGAAGACACCAAAACCGGCCAAAGGAACCACATGCAATGGGAAAAAGTGCTGATCACTGAGGAGACTGGGATTAAATCTTTGGAGCGCTTGTGCGTGGGCCGAGCCCCTACTGATTTCCTTGTCACTGAGTCTTCTGCAAAGTATCGGAAGCTTTGGAAGCAGGTGGTGGCCTCCCTTCAGTTGGAGCAATTCAATTACTTACCGTATTCCTTGCGACGTGGTGGCGCCACATCGGCCTACCGGCAAGGGGCCACGCTTGATGAGCTTCTGTTAAAAGGGCGCTGGAAACACGTTGCAACTGCTCGCCTGTATCTTGATCAAGGGCTTCAGGAGTTTACCAACCTCGCCCTGCCTCCGACCTCCCTTCCTGCCATTCGCGCTGCGCGACAAGCTTTCTGTGCCTCTGTCAGCCAGCAGGGGACGCGTGGAGGAGGGGGCAAAGCTCAGAGGCTGTGAGCGGGGAAATTTGGGATTCAGGCCCAAGATGGGCCTCGAATCTTTGCCTTTTTGGTCAGGAGGCACGTGACCCCGGCAAAAGTGCAGCGTTGCGTGTGCTGGGTCACGGCAGTTGCACGAGGAGTAGTGCATGTTTAATCCAAAAGGGGTAAGCATGCACGATTCTCGGGTCAACGGAGTTTTCGGCTCCCACCACCACCCCGTACTCCTCCAGCTCAGAGGCTGTGAGCGGGGAAATTTGGGATTCAGGCCCAAGATGGGCCTCGAATCTTTGCCTTTTTGGTCAGGAGGCACGTGACCCCGGCAAAAGTGCAGCGTTGCGTGTGCTGGGTCACGGCAGTTGCACGAGGAGTAGTGCATGATGATGCACATCTTAGGGTTCGAGTTCCAGGTGTGCCGTATTGATTTGCCATGGTTGTCACACACACATACACAGAGTTGTCATGTGTCTGCAAGTGGGCTTACTGTGCCAGTGTTGTTGGTTTTTTGCAATCTGGAGTTTAGCGACCTTTGTTGCCACAGCATTCTGATGAGCTTTGATCGCAATGACTTCACAGAAGAGCCAAAGGTGGGGATTGTCACAACTAAATATTTTTCGGCCCCTGTGTTGCTTCCAATCAGGTCCGCCAAGTGCTGGTATTTGTGGTGGTGATAGGTCTTGCGTCTTGCGTTGTTCATTTCTTGCATGCGTGTGTGCTCTGTTGGTGTGTAATTCGGTTTGAGGTAGCATGTTAGTCTGAAGAGAAGGGGATAGGAGCTTGCTTATCGTCGACTAGCCTGCCTTAACCTGGAACACTGCTCCTTAACCTGGAACATTGCTGTCCTGCGCTCAATCATTCTCGATCTGAAGTATCTAACAGGGGCCCGCCCGTATCTGAGACCCCCCCCCCCCCCAAACATAAGGTGTTCTTTGCAGGTTGGAGGAGTTGGAGCAGGAAGTGGCTGACGGACCCCAGTCATGCAGCAAGTTTGTGTTCAACCCAAAGCATCAGGCTGACCCTTGCGGTTTTTTTTGCGAATTAACTATGATGCGCTTTGAAAGAGAGGGGGTTGGGTGACGCTGCCCGTTTAGGTCATCGATAACAGGCTTCCCGGACCTCATTGGAAGAAGCTGTTGTTCTGTTTGGAACCTAGTACATGATGCCCTTCCAGACTGCTGAGCGTTCAATTCTGTCCTGCGTAATTTGTTGGATTCGCCCATTTTTATCAAGTCTAAGGGTGCGCCTGGGGATGGTTGGGGCGCTGTTTGTTTTCCAATTTGTTCATGGGATCTCACAGGTGGGATATATGTTGAATCAGTTGCGCAAAATTGCGGGGAGGAAAGCATCAGGGCCCAGAGAAACTGTTTGTTTGCGGCGGAGTGGTCTCTTTTGGTAATCTCGCATCCACAAAAGCATGCCTGCTTGAGATGTTGCTGCTTCGGAGTTTGAAACAGCGTTTGAGTGAGGGGCTCTGGACAAGCAAGCGCATGGGGTATCGTGCAAGCTTCCGAATAAGTCCCACGAGTCTGTGAACATGGCTGGATTCTCATGTCAAATTCAGGAGTGTGTTTCAAGTGTTCAAGGCCGCAAGGCACAGCTCGCATGGCCCTATTTCCACAGCCTTTGCATTGGGAGGAAACAGGAAAGTGAACGTGTTTCGTAGCCATGCTACTGAGCCGATGAGGAAAGACTTGAAGTATGCCCAAATAGAGCCGAGTTGCTTTGCAAGTACAATTTGTTATTAGTTGGGCTTCCCAGCAGTCACTACTTGCATATGGTGACTGAGGAGAGCTTAGATGACCCCCTTGTGTGCAGAGGTGTGAGCTCTGCAAACTTCCCATTAGTTTCCTTTGCCAGTGGCAGCTCTCACATGTCCTATGCCTTTCAGCTACTACCAAAGTTATGCTGCCATGCCTCTGTGAGATTTTGGAAGGCGGTGTGAGCTTTTACTCCAAGCTCCGGGCTGGAGCTTTTGCTTCGAAGCTTTCGGATGCTCCCTGCGGGGAATTTGGGCGGAGCGCGCCGCCCGTCCGAAGTCCGTGCCACCGGGGCCGCCCGCTGGGTCGCCGGGTCGCTGGGCAGGCGCTGGCCGCCGCCCTCGCCGGGCACCGCGGGCTCCGGGAGCTGGCCCTCAGCATCAACGGCTTCGGGGACGCCGGGGCCGAGGCCGGGGGAATCGGACGGGGCCAGGGCCGGGGGGGTCGGAGGCGGAGGCGCGTGCGAGAGTTGCCCCCCGTGGCTCTGGGTGTTGGCTCCGGGTGGCAGCGTGGCTTTTTTTTGCAGTCTGCAGTTTAGCGATCTTTGTGGCCACATGATTGACAAGCTTTGACGGTAATGAATAGGCTTGATAGAAGAGCCAACTGTGGGGATGGTCAAATGTTTCGCTGCTCAGCTTGCAATTGCAATTGCGTCTGCCAAGCCTGTGTTGCTATTTACTCTTGCTTTGTTTGTTCTCTTGCCTGTGTGCAGGTGGTTTGTGGGTCGAGTTGAGGAAGCGAAACACCTGCGAGAGGTATGCAGGACCCCTCAGGAGCCCTTGGCTTTGAGGTTAGTCTCAATCAATTGCCTTCTCTGGGAACACTTCTGGCGTGAACACAATCATTCGCCATCTTAAGTACCTGCGATTTGGCCCCCCACCACCCCCAACCCGACATCACCAAACGTTGTCATGCTTGTCGGCAATAACTTTCGTGCTCACTCTGCTTTCAGGGCCGAAGGCCTCTCTTCTCTTTTTCACAAGCCGTGCCTTGCTGACGGAACTGTTGTTCACATGGTGCTCGGGTTTGGAGAGTTCATAGACGGCCCTCGTTTGCGGGTTGGTGAACTTCAGCTTCCCCATGGGCCGGGGGATGGTCGGAGGTGCACGAGAGAGTTGCCCCCCGTGGCTCTGGGTGTTGGCTCCGGGTGGAAGCGTTGTTGTTTTTGCCGTCTGGAATTTAGCGATCTTTGTCGCCACATGATTTTGACAAGCTTTGACGGGAATGAGTAGGCTTGACAGAAGAGCCACCTATGGGGATGGTCATATTTCGGCAGTCTGGAATTTAGCGATCTTTGTGGCCACATGATTTTGACAAGCTTTGACGGGAATGAGTAGGCTTGACAGAAGAGCCACCTATAAAAATGGTCATATGTTTCGGCAGTCTGGAATTTAGCGATCTTTGTGGCCACATGATTTTGACAAGCTTTGACGGGAATGAGTAGGCTTGACAGAAGAGCCACCTATAAAAATGGTCATATATTTCGGCAGTCTGGAATTTAGCGATCTTTGTGGCCACATGATTTTGACAAGCTTTGACGGGAATGAATAGGCTTGACAGAAGAGCCACCTATGGGGATGGTCATATTTTTCGGCAGTCTGGAATTTAGCCATCTTTGTGGCCACATGATTTTGACAAGCTTTGACGGTAATGAATAGGCTTGACAGAAGAGCCAACTATGGGGATGGTCAAATGTTTCGTAGCGTAGCCCAATTTATGGTGATGATGTGGGTCGTGCTTTGTTTGTTTCTTGCCTGTGTGTGCTGGTTGTTTGTGGGTCGATTTGAGGTAGCAAGACACCTGCAAGAGGTGTGCAGGAGCCCTTAGCTTTGAGGTTGGTTTGAAGCGAAGGGGGCAGAAGTTTGCTTATCGTTCGCTCAATTGCCGCCTCGTTGGCGTGAACACAAGCATTCGCCATCTTCAAGTATCTGAGAGGGAAATCATGCTTTCAAAGGCAGGCCCATCTGGGCCTGCAAAGGGAGCATCACGCCCAAGGCTTGCTCCGGTCTTTAAGTTCCAATGCTCCCAGACGGGCCGCCCAAGTTGCAATCGGAGCCAGTTGTGTTGCTTCAAGCACAAAGTCTGTCTTGAATGTCCAGTCGTTGCAGTTTGCGCAGATCACACATCCTGGGCGATGATTGTTTTGCGAAATGGCTGCAGAGTTGTTCCAAAGGGCTTAAGATAAACAGGAACTGGAATATGTATGTTGATCTCATTATTGCTTTCTTTGGAAAGCAGATTTCCGAAGCCGCCATGTGTGTATTCTCTATTTCTGAC